CGCACTCCATAGTCTTTTCTAAAAACTGTACCTCCAAGGTGAATTTAGATTCTCTAACTAGTGGGGCGTCCAAGACGACACATTGCGTTTGCCTTTCACAGTTGTGGAATTAATAACTTATTTTACAAAACTTACATTCTAAGAATTTATCAACTTTACAAACAATGAGATAAGTGCGACAACTTAAACATTATAAACATTAATTATTAGGTTTCTTCTTTTTTCACGCCAGAGTACTTGAAATGCCTCGAGGCGGGGTTAAACAACCACTTCATTCCATTTTAGAAAATCAATTTATTGTTAGTTTCATCTAACAGCAAAGTCCGTTACAGATTGAGACGCTCAAAAGTGTGCAGAGTAATTTCCCTTTTAAAAAATGGTTAAATATTATGTTGAAAAAACCATGAAAAAGTTAAAATCGTATTTAGTCCTATTTAAAAAATTTCCAACGACAATCATTTTACATTAGACTGTAATTGTATTTGAGCATAATTACATTAAAAAAGTATATGCATAAACATGAATACTTTCTAAGTTCACATTGTTGTATAAAATATATCATAGGTATATAATTGTGTCGCTTTTCCTTCCAACAATACTATGTATGTTAGTTTAATGGTAATGAAAACCGCCGTTATTTCTGAACAATTTAATACAGAAAATAAGATCTTTTCTTCCTTATGTTTGTCTTTTTTTATCTTTGTTTAGTTTATAATTTCTTTTTGGTAAGTGTTAATGTCGTTAAGCCAACAAAAAAGTAATTTTCATCGAAAATAACAACATTGGATACAATATTTTTTAATCACGGACATAAGTCCGTATGAATTTTACATGACGGAGCTTTTTTGCCTTGAAAGTTGAAAAACAAAATTTATCCAAAGTTATTAGATAGTTACAAATACATACTGTTACAAAAAAACTTTATTAAACTTAAAATCTAAAAAATATATGTAATTATGTTAACTTTCTTTATTGCTTTTAGATTAAACTATTATACAAAAAATTGTGTAAATAAAACAGAGGAGTTTTATACAGAATTAATAGTTGTTCAAAACTTGTAACCAGTAAACATTTTTATCCACCATTAATCGACATTAACTTTCTTATTTATCAAATTTAGTCAGAAAACGTTTTCCAAGGACGTAAAATTCACAACTGGTTTTACAATTGTATTTTTTAATTTATGTCCTTGAATCGCAATAACGATGTAATTTTTTTACAATATCTGTGTTATTTTTAATTGAGAATTAAAAGTTTTCCTTTCTGAATCCAGCCACCGCGGTCGGAACATCTGAGAGTTGAAAATATAAATTATTATATCAATCTTTTTATGTAATTATTCAAAGCAAAGCTTTCGGTTTGTTACGTAAAATGAATTTGTAGAATAAAATCTACTATTTACTAAAATTTCAACATTAATTAACTTTTTACCAGCGCTTCCTTAGAGTTTTCTTTCTGTTTCAGAATATTTCTGCAAGATCGGACCGTGGTTTAATTGGTGAGTAACGTCCCAAGTTGCTAAATATTTTAAAAGGGGAAACCTATTAAAAGAATTAAAATGTAAGCGGTGGAAGATTCCTGGCAGAGTCAACGTCCCTAATCTACAAAGTAAATGAAACTGAACTTAATCTAGTAATAAATCGTAGGAAAAAAGGCCTTTTTTTACATTTGCACAGTTAAAATGTTTCTTAAAACGAATCAAAACAGCATAAGTTTTTAACTTAATTAAATCAGTTGGTCGACATGAACAATAAATAAATATTTTTAGTGGAAACAGTACGTTTTATTTTCAAAAGGAGGCCGGAGTGTTTTGCAATGATACATTTTACTTATTTTTATGTAAGTAAATTTTAACATAAAATACACCTACGTGAAAATATCGATATTCAGTGCCTACTCATAATATATTAAAAGAAAACTTTTTCCGCCATTTGTTACAACATCGTTTTAATTTTGTTTTGAAGCAGACTTAATATTTGTTAACTTAGTAGACATGATCAATTAATATGTTATGTTACACGACATTTTAGACGTAGTAGTACCGCTGATGACTAGGTAGATATATATGTAAAAATTGCTTATTTTGCAACTAACTGTGTTAACTATGATATACTTTGGATTTAACATTTGACAAAACCTCTTGCTGGAAATCTCTCTGGAAAAAAATCACGTATGCTAATTTTTCGTAATGCAGATGTTCTTCATATAGTAACTACGTTCTTGAACGAAGGAAGGAGCACAACTACTGATATTTACTACAAGTATGTCAAAAAAGTTCGCTGAGTTTCTGGAATGTTTGTTTCTGATATTTTTGAAGTTACTAAGTCGAAAAAGAATTACTTGATCATTTACGTTGTTTGTTCATAAGCATCGTATGTGTTATCTGAAATTGAACATTTTTTAAAATTATTTTCTTATTTTTTTACTGCCAATCATAAATCTACAATGATTTATTTGAAATTGGTGGAGATTTTTTTAATGGCCCAAAAACTTGACAGTGTATTTTAGAATAGAACATCAATCTGCGCGAAGTGCAACAAGTACATATTTAGATAACGAGATAATTGAAATTAACAAATCAAAACCTAAAAGACGTGTGAGGAAGCTATCCAGTGATCACACTCTTCAATCAGTAATAATCACTTAATCACTCATACTCTCTCACATGCTAGAAAGTATAGTTGTACTTTGGAATTAGAGTGGGACGTTAGTGTCGAATTTTCGTATCTGGATTTCACAACTTCATTTACTAAGGGAACATTTAAGTTGTTAGGAATGGTGAAGTTACAAAGTTAGAACGGTGCATAGATGAAGAATATAAGTATTCGTGATTGTTAGGTATGGATTCTGCAGAGATAGATAATCAGAAGGTTTGGTTAAACCCCGTAGTTCGTATGTACATATTGGTTTCAATATTTTGTTTTATATGAGTATTTTGTTGTAAAGGGAGAGTTCAGAGGTGTGAACTAGTTGTAGCCTTTTATGGAATCGGTATTGTGAGTTCAGTTCTTTCCTTTTGAGTCATGTATGGGGATTACAAGTAAGTCGACTCGATACAGCTTTATGTAGCGAATGACGTTTTCGGTGGGAAGAAGAGAGAGGTTAGGATAGATTGGATGTGAGCGATTTGACGAAGTGTGAAGGTTATTATTTGGGACTTTGTGGTATTTAGTTTAATTACTTATTTTGATTCGTGGTTCCGTGAGCTACGACGGAGGTCAGTATTGGATAGAATGGCAATGCCTTCAGCGTATGTTAGGATAGTGGTGTTGGGATGGGAAGGGATATCAGCAGTATATATTGAGAACAATAGCGCGCCGAGGACGCTACCCTGAGGGGGTTCGGCGTCCGCCCTATAGAAAGGAACATGTGTAGTTCCGACCTATACTGTAAAGTACTAGCCAGCCAGGAAGGATAAGGTAGTGTGAATTTCCAGAGCCAACCCTGATTCTACGAGGATTTTATTAAACAGTTTATAATCAATTGTTGTAGCATTTTGGCCCATACTAAAAATTCCTCTATTTCATTTGATTTTTACACCATTGTGAGGTACGTATGTAAAAATGTAGAACAAAGTTGTTAAAACTTTTTGCACGCGGGACGTTTTCTTCAGCGCGTAATGCTTTTAGAAAAGGATGACATTCAAGACAAAATGTCACCTAACATGAAAAACTTAGTAATTGCTGATTTAAAAATTATTTACTTTAAAAAAAGTCTTAATTAAAATATGTTTATAAATTTTGTAACTGAACTGCTTCATTGAGTTTCAATATTGATATAAAAAATTTAGCAGCGTAAAAATAAAGTAGAGTAAAGGAGAACAGCTTGGAACCAATTCATTCGATGTGCTTTATTAAAAATAATAATTAGTAAACTCTGAGAAGCCGCTTTAATCTGTAATACTGAACAATTGTTAACATTCGGTACCTGCATGGAAAAACCCGAGATTAAAAGGGTATTTCGGGTATAAAAAAATAATTCACCCCGTCTTCCAATTCAACAAGAGATAAATTTAAAAAAGTTTGTGAGTTTTAAGCTTCCCTAATAAAATGGAGGAAGAATAGGATGAAAAACGGTACGAGGGCCCTTCAACAGTCTACCGTGATAGGTGGCCGTTTCCTTCATTAAAGCTGTGGGAGTTATGTACGAATTTCGTGTCCAATTTCGGCCTAAGTATGCAAATCGTCAAAGATTACGCTTTGTATTATGCAAATTAGTTGCGATTTCAAGGCAATAAAAATACATAGTTTCTTAATGCGATAATAATTGTATTTGAATTGGCATTTATTATAAAATTAAATTTAAATACAACGTCGCTGTAATTTTGGGAAAAACTGCCTTCTACAACGCAACGACAGAACGCAAAGAAACAAGAAGATAAAAATCCCTTATATCATTGTTGATAATATAAAAGCTACCGAAAAATGTATAAATTAATTAAAGTATACTTTTATTCGGCAATGTGAAATATCGTTTGACATTTAACAATAGGTGGGTGATTTCTAAAGTACAATTTTGTTTCATAAGTAGCTGATGGTCGCACCATTGAGTTTTTGAAGTCAAAATTAAAAATTCATTTCGAAGTTAGATATTATTGTATTGCAGTAAATTTAATTTACAAACTTGCAAATCAACATTTATTGTCAAAATATAGCAACTAAAATTGCTTGAGAGTTTAAAATACGTAAATAAAACGATTTTTGAATTATCTTTTTTTAATGAAAGTTATTTATATTCATTCTAAATCCTTTTCATACATTTTAGAACAAAGAATTAAAGAAAGTTAGAGGACGTATCAAAATGTTGTTTTGAAAACAGTAAATATAAGCTTGGACGATATAAGAATATTTTCAATTTATAATATGATACATAAATTTGAAATTATAATGAAAAATTAGTAAATTATATAATAAATAATTGTTTTTTTTTTCTTAGTTTAGTGTCTCCGAAAACTGGTGTTTTTTCTACGAATTATTTTTTTTTATTCCAGAGAGGTGTCAGTGCCCGAGTTTATTTTTGCTTATTTTTTCCATAAATTATACGTAAGTTTAGTAATTTTTATTTGAATACGTAGTAATACTAATAATTAAAACCGTTTTTTGCGTATTATAGTGTCCTACAAGGCGAAGTATATGAGCCGAAATTTTCGCTTATAAAAGTTTTATTTATTGAACCGAAACTAGAACTTTCAACTGGTCGATAACTACATCCTCAGTGGTTTTTTCTATCTGAACTGTTTTTCTTTAATGCATCATAATTATAAATACTAACCCGCTTTATCAGAAATAAAAAAAAAATCCGGGTTAAACACGATTTTCTCAAGAACTAAAACCTAATTTAAAATAAATTTAAACAATTACATTAAAAAAAATTAATGGAAAGTTTTGAAAATAATAAATATTTTAAAAACACAGTTTCAAATTTCAAAAGTACTGAATCAACAAGAAACACTGCAGTTCAAGTAAACAAATTGCGATCCTTGTTTAATAGGTTTTGTTACGGAAAGATTGCCAATTTTCATATTCGTCAAGCTAAACAGACACGAAAGATTTGTTATTCAACAGATCGACCGTTTGGCTGCTTTTTAAGAAATATGTATACATGTTAATATTAACAAAATGTAAAGCTATAGAGTAGATAATAGCATCAGTTGGTATACCAACTTAGGTGTTTGAATTGTGAAAAACTTATGTTGGTCAGATGAAACAGAGACAAAAAATCAGATTCTATCAGCATTGATTATCCAATAGTTCAGAAGTCAATAGTTAAGAATTTAAGGAACTGCCTCCAGCTGATTCTGTATTAGCTCCCCACATAAACCCGTGTTTTTTGTGAAATTAGGTTTCTTCAGCCTCCTGCATCTCCGACCTCGGACGCTCGTCATTCGTCGAGCGAATCTAAACACCAACCGACTTTGTAATCTCCTCTTGTACGTTTCAAAGTAAATAAAACCTCTTTCTCAAAATAAAAAATTGTGTTTAGGGTTCTGAACTTATAACTAATGACAATTCAAGATTAAGGATGGCTTGTCGAAACATATCCAGGAACTCAATCACCCTTTTGACTTTACTCAGCCCCGGATTTTAGATTGGGAATCCCGGCCATGTAAAAAGTGCTTCAAAGGGATTCTGCACATAGCTACAAGTAAAAAATGTGATATCTGAACAGATATATCGGGCCTAAGCTCTTATATATTCTCCTTGCATTTCAAAAATTTCGAGCCTCTCTCCGACAAAAAATTTAATCTTCTAGACTTGTTTAAATACATAGGTTTTAAATATTTGTCAATTTTATTTTAAAGTTAATAATTTTTGCAATAAAAACTTAGTTTAAATATTGCAGGGTTGACAGTGGGGAGAAGTTTAGCCTTCCTACACATAAACTCAATAATTATACTAGATAATCAACTTTCATTAATTCAAACGAACAATTTTAAATTACCAGAAAATCTTATTATTATTTGACCTAATCATGTTTTAAGTAGTTCTGATTGAGAACCAAAATTAAAAGTTAAACTACAATTTCAACTCCACACACTTCCCAAAATTTCAATCTGTTTATGTAATTAAATGAATGTAAATACATGTACACGACTGTAAGTTCGTACCTTGTAGTAATAGAAATTGATACAAAATGTATTTTTTAATTTATTGCTATAAATGTGTAGGCCCTGAGAATAGCCTTTTAAAGGCTGAAAACTCGGGAAGTAATCATAGTTTGCTTTGATAAGAAACTCGATCTTCAAATCACGTAAAAGTGTTAATTTTTACAAACATAACATTGTTTATTATCATGAGAGTGCGTCAGATTTTTGTTTTGGCAGTTGTAATTATTTGTTGCAACGATCATTAATTAATTATGAGAAGTCAACACGTAACAAGTCTTAAATAAATTTGATTATAATAAAACAAATTTTAGGCATCAAACCAAACTTTACAAACAATAGTTGGCAATAATTAAAACTTTTATGACAGTTATTTATAAAATTAAAATTTAAAAGCGTGACTAGATTGATTTTTTTTGGTAAATATAGGAAGATAGTCAGTGGTGACTATAATCAAGATTGAGACAGTTGACAATATTTTTTTAAATTTATTGTGACAACGTAACTTGTAAGTTGACTTTTCGTAAATAATTGATGCATCGTAGATTCATTCGATTGTTGATTGTTGTCATAGTCCGGAGGGCCCTGAAGAAGACGGTAATAAACCTCGAATGCTGGGCGAGAAGTTGCAAACTCCCTTCTTTGTGACCACGTCCCTGATCTACAATAAATTGGTGATATCTAGATTGTCGATTCATCTTACCTTCGAAGTGGTTAATGGTAGTTTGGTCGTTCACAATGTTTTAATTGGTATTCTGGGAAATATTTAGATGTTTTTGCCATTTTAGTTTCAATAGTAGCGATCATACCAACCCTTGGGTACGGTCTTTTTGGAAAAAAGCTCGTACTCATTCCGGCTGAGATACGTTGTAGAGTCGATGTGTCAAAACATTAGTTTTTTCGGCTTCACGCGAAGGCCGTAGTAATCTTCTCGTTGTCTTATTAAAAATACAACTCAAAATTTAGATGCAATTAATACAAAATTTATCGATATTAACTTTGCTATTACTTTTTATTAAACTAATTTACTAATTGATTGTATTTTTAATGAATTAATTTTGTAAATTAAATTAATATCCTTCAGCAAACTTACTTTTATATTGTTTTTTGTTCTCAAGAAACAAAATTATTTCTATGTGATGTATTTTTGTTTTTGAGGAGTATTTCAACTACAAGGTCATATGAACTATCGGGGGGCCCGTTTTTTCCCCCCATTTTAATTAATCCCATTAAGCCCATTTATTAGTAAAGAGCATTTATCGGAACTAATTAATCGCAACTAACTTTGAAAAACCAGCGAGCTAACGGAACGGATGAGATTTTAGAACTTTGTGATATAATACAGAATGGTAGACTAATATTGAGGTCCTTATATAGAAAAAATCAAGAGGAATTCTGCGGTTGACATAGACATTTCTCTACGTAAAAGGAAAGAATATTGTTAATTAATTTAGAATGTAAAGTGGCCAATCTTTACAATTGTTCAGGGAAATATCGGCATTGATCCAATATAGTTGATCCAATGTATTCCAAGCAGATAACCATGATATTTTGAACCTAAAGATCTCTGGCGCAGTAATGGTGGTTAGGAAGGTTTAGGACTCTGCAGACATAGGAGGTGTGTAAATTTAATGGAAATTGAAAGGTGAGGTCAGCTGATGTCTCAAGTAGATCATATAGTTAGTAGTGATAGAAGAGAGGTAATAAACATAACGGATAAAATAGCGTTCTAGGGATTCAATTACATCATATCGTTCGAAGCCTTAAGCCCAGGAAGCGTAGCACGCGATTGAGCGGCAGACAGCCAAAAACTGCTCGTATTTACTGCAAACTGCGATGAGAGCATTCAAAATGAATTCGGTCCAAATTGAATTTATCGCATATTTTGCAACGTAAATCTTCCCTTTGATTGCATTGAGGGACAGTGTAGAATTGAAAATTATACCCAAACAATTATACTCATTAACTATTTCAGTGTGAGAGCCCGTAAAATACCAACTATCGCCAGTCGCAAAAATGCCTCTCTTACGAAAAACCATAATATTAGATTTAATTAGACTGGCTGAAAGAATCCACATACTTTTTATTAGGTTTCGTGGTCCGCTTGACAAAATAAATTATTTTCAATTAATTAAGATTTTCGTTGAGATAAAAATGTCAGTGTCACAAGCGGGATTCGAACCCACGACCTTCGGCTAAATACGCCGCTGCTCTACCACTTGAGCTATCGTGACTTCGATCCACTCGGACACTGTCTTACTTGTGACACTGACTTTTTATCTCAACCAAAACCTTAATTAATGGAAAAAAATTCCACATACTACAGTAGGTCTCTAAGGCAGTAATATTTTTTGCAGAGTGACCGGTGATTCTGACAAAATTACAATGTTGACCGCATATAATAGGATGTTTGTTTCAGTATTTCTGTAACTAATACCGAATTCAAGAAAGTCACAGATCGTCGATTAACACCAAATCATACCTCATAATATCTAGTAATCCCCCCTTTCCCTATAACTGAAGAGCTACCATGTGCATATCATTGTTTTAGTATTACAAGAATTTTTTCTGAAAAACCTAGGTTTCTGAGTTTTCAGTGTAAGCTCTTTCCAATCCACACAGTCAAAGCCTTAAGATCTACGAAAAACCCATAAACACCATAAAAAACCCATAATATATATGTATATGTATGTATAAGTGTATGTAAGTATATATATTGTTTTATATAAAATTATATTTTTTCTTTTACTTATTTTTGAATAACAAATTTTATGTTCTGTTAGCTTTTAATACTTATAGTCCGACCTCCGGCAGACGGTTGTAAACCATTGTCGTAATGTGTTTTGTATTATACATATTTATGATGAAAAATATTAATTTCATTTGTTTACTTAATAATGTAATTTTTTCATTCTTCATTCATTTCATTTGTTAGTATGTCGGGTTTGAATGCAGGGCCTCTGAATTGTTTTGTGACCTTTACCCTGATGACCTCCGTTACAACGCTTAAACCGTCGCGCCCAACAAGACCGGACGACGTAAGTGATAATGATTTAAAATGAAAACGGACCAAGGATTCATTAAAAAAGACCCAACTCTGAAGATTGCGATAAACTGACAATCGTCTGGGAGACAAAAACAACAAGAATAGCAGATTAAAACGATTATAATAATAATAAAGGTGCAAACTGCAGATTTTAATTCGTACTAATGCCAAATCTGATGTAGGGTTTTATGTGCAACTGTATATTGATAATGTATCCATAGAATCTATACCAACGTTTCATGCCTGTTAAAAAGTCTTCACGTTTTCCACGTTATGTTATATTCGAAAGAATGAATTTTGTATTTGCTATATTGTTTCATGGGAGTATGGTAGAGATCAAGGGGAAGGAGAACGCAGAGAGGTTTTATGGCATCATAGCTCGGATTACTTAT